CGCCACCGAGAGACACGGCCGTGCTCGGGTTCAAGGCCGAGCCCCAGACCCTGGCCCAAGGTCGTGCCCGGTGGCTGCTGGGCTCGCCTGGGCTCTTGTTCCCACCGTGGGACCCGTGTCGCTGAGTCCCAGTCTGCTCGGAGGGCGCGCCCGTGGGGAGAGCACAGAGGGGAGCAAGAGGCCAGGAGGGCCCAGGGGCCCAGGCCCCCACCTCCCCCCACCCCGCAGCCCCGCTCCCGGCCACCGGCCCTCCAGCAACACCCCTGCTCCTTACCACTTGGAAGGGGTGAGCAGCGTGGGGGGGTCGGACTTGGCGATCTTGAGCAGGACCCGCATGGGGTTGAGCTCATGGTGCGGGGGCTCAATCTGGGCCATCTCGATGAGAGTGATGCCCAGGGACCAGATGTCGGCTTTGTAGTCGTACGGGGTGTCCTTCATGGTCTCGCACATCACCACCTCGGGGGCCATCCTGAACCAACCAAGCGACAACAGAGGGCTAAGCACCTGGCCTCCGCCGGCGCTTCTCGGAGACTCGGGGTCAAGGGCCAGCACTTCCCGAGTCACAGTTTGCACCACTGTCCATCCCACTGTCTTGCGGAGATGTCTTCATACAGAAAGACGCCCTCCAAGCGGCGCCTGGCCACGGCCTGCTGCAGTTCCCGATGCCTGCCACAAGGTGGCAGCCACAATCCAGAACACAGTCCTGGGGAGGGTGGGCGGGGGGCAGAGGGGAAGGGGCCCAGAAAAGACAGTACAGGAAGGGCAGTGGAGAGAATACAACAGCCCGGAGAGAAGGGACAGGAGACAGAAGGAGGAAGAGGAATGAAAGGGCAGAGAGAGAGAATAAAAGGGTGAGTAATAAGCAAGAAGGAACCTAACCCCACAATGGGAATTAATGCACATGAAAAAACAGAGTAGTTAGCTGTGGGTTTTTTCCCCAAAGGGATAGTTTTGGAAAAGCAGGAAACGCCAAGGACTAGAGGAGTCCAGGGAGACTTCACTCGGGGGCAGGAACTGAGCTGGGTTATTCGCCTCCAGCCCCAGCCCGGGCCCTCTACCGCTACTTGCTGAACTAAGCACGAACTGAACCATTTTGGGGGGAATTCCAGTTACAGTGCTGTTCATGGAGCATGTCCTCCGTGCACCAGCCCATGTATCCCTCACAATTACTCCCTAAGTGGGTGCTATTATGTGTCCGATTTTACAGGTCAGCAAACTGAGGCACAAGTATGTGCCGGGGACCGGGCTCAGACCTCCTGTCCGGAGGTCACCAGCCAGAGGTCACCTTGGGGAGTCTGAGGCTTCACACTGTGTCCACCATTCCCTTTCCAGAAGCCACCTGACTCACCAGTAAGGCGTTCCGATGAAGGAATCTCGTTTTTGCAGAGTTTTCAGATTCTTGGCAGACACACCAAAGTCAGCTGCAAGACACAAACCTCAGATAGAGTATTCGGCACACATTCCCCACCCACAGCCTGGGTGTGGTTTCGGAGACACCCGCTCCAGATCAGCCACCAAATGCCAACTTCTATCTCCCAAACTAGTGATCATTAAAAATGCATCTGCTGCCCTAACCGGTTTGGCTCAGTGGATAGAGCGTCGGCCTACGGACTCAAGGGTCCCAGCTTCAATTCCGGTCAAAGGCATGTACCTTCGTTGCGGGCACATTGCCAGTAGGGGGTGTGCAGGAGGCAGCTGATCGATGTTTCTCTCTCATCGATGTTCTAACTCTCTATCCCTCTCCCTTCCTCTCTGTAAAAAAAACAATAAGATATATTTTTAAAAATAAAATAACAATAAATAAAAATGCATCTGCTGTCAGGATGTACTAAGACATGAACTTCCTACTTGCTAATGAGAGAATAACTGAAGAGCCTTCTTCTAGAAAAGCAGTCTGACAACAAATCACAAGAATCTTCAAAATACCCAGACTCTCTGAGCCAGTAATTCCAAATCGTGACATCTACCCTAATAAAATCATCCTACATGAAACAAAAACTGTGCACGCTGATCTTCACCAAAGTGCCACTGTTACGGAAAAATTAAAAGCAAGCATAACTGCTTAGCTTTCAGGGAGCAGTTTTAATTAGCGATGATCACACCTTGGGTACACCCCAATGGCTATGGTACTGTCACTAAGCAAGCTTAGGGAGTAATTTTAAATGTTTTACATACATTACATAACACACCCTGTGTTTTCCACAAGTATTTAAGATGCTCTCTCCCTCTCTCTCTCATACACACGCGCATGCGTAAATGGAGAAATTAGGAGAGGTAAGGTAAGGTAAATGGTAAACAATCAGACAGGTTAAGAAAAGTATTATAGCCGAACCGGTTTGGCTCAGTGGATAGAGCGTCGGCCTGCGGACTGAAGGGTCCCAGGTTCGATTCTGGTCAAGGGCATGTACCTTGGTTGCGGGCACATAGAGAGAGAGAGAGAGAGAGGCAGCAGTTTGTTGTCCTTTCACCTATTTATGCATTCATTAGTTGCTTCTTTATATGTACCCTGACCAGAGATCAAACCCACAACCTTGATGCACTGGGCAGATGCTCTAACCAACTGAGCTACCAGCAGGGCAAACCGTTTCTCTTTAAGCCCCACACCCAGCGCCACCAGTGCACGGAGGAGAATCCAGTGCCGCCAAGGAATCTCCCCAGCGCCCTGGACTTTGGGACTAAGTTTCATCTTGATTAAAAAATAAACTCAGGAGGCAACACCCTGAGAGAGTAGGCAATGGTCAGCTTAGCTTTGTCGCAAGAAACTGCTAAGTTGTTACAACGGCAGCCACTCCTGGGGCCTCGGCCTGAGTCTCAGAATGAGCCGCCCCGAACCCCAGCAGGTGACAGCGCTGAATTCAGTCCCCACGACTGCAAACCTGGGGGGAGCCCAGCGCCTAGTGGGCCTGAGCACCAGGAAGCGGGGCTCCAGTCTGGGCTCTTGTGTTTCACGGGCAGCAGATAATGGGGAGCAGGCAGGGAGCAGGGCAGTTTCCAAATCCGACCCTCAGTTTCCCGGCCTGTGACGGGGATGGTGACACGGCACCGTGGAACTACGTTGTCGGGTTGTCAGGAGGATTAAATGTTTGGGGGCTGGGGCAAGGCTGAGGTTAGGAGAGCTGGTCTCTGACCCCAGCTGCTCAGACAGCAGTGGCTCAGCTGATGACAACCCTTGACCCTGGCAGGGACAGTCTGGCCTGAGAGGGAGGTACCAACCCAGGTGAGGACCCAGCGCTGCTGCTCCCCGCCCCGCCCCGTG